CCAAGGAGTGAATAGGAGATAGTGAGACAAAAAGGAAGGGAAGAAAGTCCAGGCAGAGGAAACAGCACGTGAGGCAAGATTTAAGGGGAAGTGGTTCAGTTTGGGAAGAGTGGTGTGTGTGTGTGTGTGTGTGTGTGTGTGTGTGTGTGTGTGTGTGTGTAGGGGCCATGGAGAAGTGAGTCATAAGGCAGGAGAGGCAGTCAGGGGCCAGATCAGGAAGGCCTTGAACGCCATGGTGAGGAGGCAGGACTTGATTTGGAGGGCAAGGAGGAGGCTTCAGAGGGTTTAGACAGGGCCATGACATGATCAGATCAGTGTCTTTGGAAGATCACTCTGGTTTCTGGGTGCAGAAGCAGTGGGGAGCGAGCACAAGTAAAAGCAGGAAGAAAGTCAGGAAGCTTTTGCAGTGAGCCAGATGAGAGATGACCCTGGCATAGACCAGAATGGTGGCAGGGTTGATGAAGGGAAGTGTTTGGGTTTGGGATATATTTTGGAGGTAGAGCCAACAGGACGTATTAGTGAATTGGAAAGATGCCTCCCAGTTTCTGACTTGAACGACTGGGGGGGTGGTTGGCAGTGCTGTTCACGGAAATGAGGGATGCTGAGGGAACAGGTCTCGGGGAGGGTGGGAGATGAGTTCAGTGCCATGTTGAGTTTGAGCTTCCGGGAAGAGACGTTCCTGTAGCCAGCTGGCCATCTAGGTCTGAGACTCAGGAGAAAGGATGAGGCTAGCGACAGAATTGTGATGTTTGGGGAGTGGATGAGGTAGTCCAAGGGGAGCGTAGAAGGCCCTGGTTCGTGCAGCAGCACTTCCCTGTCAAATGATTCCCTACCCTTTGGTGCCTGCCTGCTTCAGCTCAAACCCAGGTTTAGAAGGCACTTACCAAAGACTGCACTTTAATGCAAAGATCCTGCGGATAATCCTAACTCTTGGCTCCCTCTTTCCCCTCGGTTCCTGTCATTTCCACAGCATGCTGGACTGGCTTGACTAGCTTCCAGTAAGAATTTCTCCAGCCCAGGGGCCAGGCCAGCCGCCATTCTTAGGAAGCTCGGTTTCCGGCTCCCCCTCCTGGCGGAGCTGGAGATGACACACAGCTGGGCCACTGAGCCAGAGAGCACCCTCCCCTCACCTCAAAAGAGGGGAGGAAGACCTCAGCCCCAGTACTCTTCTCCAACCCTCCCCACCGAATCCCACCCACTTTAGATCCCTTCCTAGAAATAGCAGGAGACAAGCCCAATTAGGGATCTGGGAACCACAAATTAAATTCTTCCTGTTTCCAAGTTACTTTCTTCTTTTTTCTGCCCCAAACTCACTCTTGGTCTCCTTGCCCATGAAGATTTCATTTGGTTATTTATACCTATCTCCAAAAACACTCTCTTCCATTCTCACTCCCCGTGAGCAGTATTTTGCTGACACCCAGTTTACCTCCCTCCTCCTCATATGCAGGAAAGCCATGATCTGTGCTGGAAAGAGCACTGGGCTGGGGGGCAGGCAACCTAGGTTGAGTCCTGTTTCTGCCACTGATTCAGGGTGTGACCTTGGACCAGTCACTTCCTTCTTTCCCAGGGGCAGTTCCCTCACCTGTGACATTGGACTGGACTCCAAAAAAACCCTTCCAACTCTAGTGTTCTAGGCTTTGCTCCCACCACCCCTAGCCTTTTCAGTTCTTCATGTGCATCAAACTCTCTCCTGCTCCAGGACCTTTGGTTGTGCTCTTCCCTCTGCCTGAAATGCTCTTCCCTTCCCTTTTTTTTTTTTCATCAACTCCTCCTTATCCTTCAGCTCTCAGCTCACATGTTACTTCAGCAGAAAAACCTTCCCAGCCCCTTCAGACTGGGTCAGGTACCTCATCATATGCTCTCAGAATTCCCTGGAGCTCTCCTTCTGTGCCCTCATCATGGTTTGTAATTTTCCACATGCTTGCATGATTATTATTTCAAGGCCCACCCTCCAAATCCCCATCAAACTTCAAACTCTTTGATAGCAAGAACCTGTCTGTTTTGCTCACCACTGTATCCCAGCACCCAGATGCTTGCCCAGCCATCTTGTAAAGGCTCAATATGTATCTATTAAATAGATGAATAAGTACATGGATGAATGAACCCTTATCTTCACCTATCAGCTGCTTTCTACATCTAACTAGCATCATGTTTAAGAGCAAAGTGTCAAGGGGTGCCTGGGTGGCTCAGTCGGTTGGGCGTCTGACTCTGGGTTTTGGCTCAGGTCATGATCTCAGGGTCCTGAGATCGAGCCCAGTGTCGGGGCTCCGCACTCTGGGAGGAGTCTGCTTGTCCCTCTCCCTCTGTCCCTCCTCCTCTGCCCCTTCTCCTGCACTCTTGAGCACTCTCTCTCTCTCAAATAAATAAATAAATAAAATCTTTAAAAAAAAAGGCGCAAAAAGTCAAAAGCCAGAGTGCCTGGGTTTGGAACCCAACTTTACCACCCACAAGCTGTGTACACTTGTATAAGTTATTCTATCTTACTGTGCCTCAGTTTCCTTATCTATAAAGGGCAGATAATAATAGCATACACTACCGAACAAGGTTGTTGCAAGCTGAAAAGACTTAATATATGTAAACTGAGTAGAACAAGGCTTGGCACTGAAGGGCTATATTAGTAATAGCTATTGTTCTGATTCTGCCTCATCCATCTCTCCATTTACCCATTCTGAACTCTCCCACAAGGCCTCATTATCTTATTTCCGGTCTTTGAGTGCGGGTGACTCAGTGTTATTTGCAGATTAGATAGCAAAGTTTTTTTTAAAATTTTTATTATGGAAAATTTCAAACAGGCAGAGTAGAGAGAAGAGGATAATGAACCTCTGTAACAAGCTTCAACAATTATCAACATTCTGCCACTCTACGTTCATCCTTCCTCCTCTCATTTTTCTCCCTCCTGGAGTATTTTAATACAAACCCCAGATGTCATACAATTTTATCTGAAAATACTCCATTATGCTTCTCTAGCAGGTAAGGGCTTTTTAAAAAAATACAATACCATTATCACACTTAAACAAATAATAATTAGGGAAGGTTTTTTAAACTCCATCCCCTTGAGAGGAGCTGGGGTAATGGGAGCCCTCACTCTGGGGTAGATGTGAAATGAGGAACAGCCAAGAGAATTAATATAAGTTTAGTGCTTTGAACAGGGCCCGATATATAAATGGGACATAGTAGTAACTATTATTTCGATTCTCCTCCATTTTCTCCATTTATCCACTCTAAATCCTCCCCAACGGCTAGCTTACTTCAAGTCTGTGAATGTATGTGACCCTTTACAAAGGAGGACTAGGAGTCCAGGATGGTGAGTTTCCTGGGTCATTGGCACCCTGCGGTGAGAGCTGGGACTCTGGAAGGCACTGAGAAGGGCCCAAAGGAAGTGACCGTGGGACTGAGGGAGAAGGAGAGAGGGCCGGAGGACTTAGTGGGTTTAAAGAAGGGGGAGTCCTCTGGCTGTGTGAAAATGGCACTGAGAAAAATCCAGTAGCCTAAGGGCAGGCAAGCCGGAAGGTTGGTCCTTTCTTCCTAGTATTCAGAGCCTTTGGAGATCACTGACAGCTGAGAAGCAGGGAGGCAGGAGCCTGGGTCCTGAGGGAGCTCCTTCTAGCTTTTCTCCACAGCCCACAGAAGGGCAGCTGCCTAAGATAGTAATCAGGGTTTTGCTCTGCTTCATTTTGAGTTCCCAACTGTTCCAAGGATATATAAGTGATGATGGTGGACACTGAGCCAAAGGACAACTGGAGATAGCCTTCCCTGGATTGGCGATGAAGATTTTGGTGCTCCCATCACATTTTTTCCTTTCTGTGGAATTCTCCCCACCAGGCCTTCTTCTTATCACACTCATACTTTGCATACTGAGCGCACCTACACACTCCACCTACCCCCATCCAAAGTTGCCTCCAGGAAAAGAAGGGATTCAAACACTTCATCAAGGTAAACAAGCTCTTTCACAGACTGGCTTCCCACTACCTCATCAACCTCACTTCCCACTGCTGTCCTCTTCTTTCCAGCAATAGGCAGTGGACACAGTGAATGAGCATAGATTTTTGTCCATATAGACCTGGTATTGAATTCTGGCTCTGCTGTTTCCCAGTCTGGAACCTTAGGCAAGGTCACTTTATGTCCCTGAGTCTCAGTTTTCATGTCTGAAAATGGGGAGAATAGTATACTAAAAGTCCTCTTAACAGAAGGCTTAAAGCCAAATGAAAATATGACTTCAGGTCACGTGAACCAGAAAAATTAGAACCTTTTTAAACTAATGACCTATGAAATTTACAAAAAGCTTAAAATCCTCTGGACTTGGGGTGGGCATGACCGGGTCAGTAGGTGAGTTTTCAAATACTGAATGTTAACTACTGCCCTGAAGAATCACAATGTCCGTGTTTTTATCCGTATAAGAACAAGGACAATTTTTGTTGGCCCACAACCCCCTATTTAGAATCCCCCAAGCAAGCCACTTAAACTCACTTAACGTGTTTCCTGCCCCAAGCTCTGAGCTCTGCGTTTGAAAATGATTGCATCCTAGTTGGAGCTTCTAAAGAAATGGTGACCATGCGTTACAGCACTACTAATTTCTTAAATGAGAGCTTTGGCTTGGCTCTTGTAGACCCTTCTTCAGTGTGAGTTTAAGTCACGGGGGCCATGGCTCCCAGGGTGTTTGAATTCAAAGCGTGCTCAGCGCCAGGCAATGGAGAGCATGGAATGGAGGGTATTTGGGGGAGCAGGCTATGGAGAAGGTCTCTGGGGGCCACTAAAATGACTGAGGTCATATCAGGCATTTTCCCTCACTCACGAGGATAGCGTGCAGAAGCACGGTTTGGACTGGACTGAAAACGCGAGAGACAAGAGGAGACAAGCCCACCCCGCTCCGCTGGGGCTGCGGCCGCCTCTTAGGCGCAGGCGCGCGACCTTCGTGGGCGGGCTCAGGCTCTTCGCGGAGCGCGGCGCTGCGATTGGCCAGCCCGGAGGCCGGCAGTTGGCCCTGCCTCGCCTCCAGGCGCACGGCGCATGCGCAGGGCGGGAGCGAGCGAAATTCAAGCGAAATTCAATCGCCGGCTGACTTCCCTGGTACGCAAGCTCGGGGTCATGGAGGCGTCGCGGGGGTCTGCGGAAGCCGCGGCCTTAAGCCCAGAGCAGGCCGCCCTTTACCAGAGGTACGTCTGGGCCTCTGGGCGGGTCGAGCTCGCAGGCCCGGGCCGGGAGTCGGGGTGGGAAGCCCTCGGACCCTCCCAGCGGCCCAGACTGCTGCGGTGGAGCCTGGTGAGAGGCGCCCTCGCGTTCTCCGAGTAGGGCGTGGGAATCTGCTCGGATTTCTAAATCGAAAGCCTGGGGAGCCTCCCGATGCCCCCCTTTTTTGGCCAAATAGCTCTCTGGAAAGCCAGAACTTCCACTGATCAAGCCCTTCTTGAGTCTTTACAGTACCAAACACCGGGCCTGGGGGTTACAGAGATGAGGAAAACATTGACCCTGCCCCCACCCCCAAATTGCTTATCACTAGGTCGTGGAAAGGGACAGGTAAACTAATAATCGATCGCCGTAATGTTTGATAAGTGCTGCCGGAGGTATAATGGGCAAGGAATAGTAAGGGGATAAAGGAGGAAATGGCCAACTACAAGGGTCGTCTTCACAAGGGGAGGAGACGTTGTGTGGAAGAACGAGTGAGCGTTCACCATATGGCTAAGGGTGGGGGATAGGGTGATGTGCGAATGAGATTTAAACTTTTCAGTTGCGATAAAGTAGACACAAGGTCAAATTTACCGCCGTCACCATTCTTAAGCGTACCGTTCAGTGGTATTAGATACATTAGTACTGTTGTTAAAGCATCACCCCGTCCATCTCCAGAACTCTTCATCTTGCAAAACTAAAACTGCCTGTTAACTCCTCACTCCCCGCTCCCCCGGCCCTGGTAAGCATCATTCTACTTTCTGTCCCCCGTGAATTTGACTCTAGGGACCTCCTACGAGTGGAATCATACAGTATTTGTCTTTTGGGGACTGGTTTATTTCACGTAGCATAATTTCATCAAGGTTCATCCATACTGCGTCATGTGACACGATTTCCTTCCTTTTTAGGACTGAGTAATATTCCATTGTGTGCACATGTCACATTTTGTTTATCCATTTGTCCGTGATGGACACTTGGGTTGCTTTCATCTCTTGACTATTGTGAACAGAGCTGCTTTGAACATGGGTTTGCAAATATCTCTTGGAGATCCTGCTTTCAATTCTTTTGGATATCTAGCCAGAAGTGGGATTGCTGGATCACATGGTAATTCTATGTTTAACTTTTCTAGGGTCTTTTATGGCAGCTGCACCATTTTATGTTCCCTCCTCCAGTGTCTACGCTTGTTACATTCTGGTTTTGTTGTGGTTGTTGTTACTAGCCATTCTAATGATAATGAAGTGGTATCTCATTGGGATTTTTTTTTTTTTTTTTTTTTTTTTTTTTTGCATTTCTCTAATGATTAGTGACGTTGAGCATCTTTTCATGCACCTTTTGGCCATTTGTATATCTTTGGAGAAATGTCCATTCAAGTCCTTTGCCCATTTTTTAGTCAGGTGGGTTGTTTTTTCTTCATATATTCTGGATATTAACTCGTATCAGATATATGGTTTGCAGATATTTTCTCCCGTTTTCACTCTGTTGGTGGTGTCCTTTGATGCGCAGAAATTTTAAATTTTAATGTAGTACAAAGATATAAATGGGGGCAGTGAAATAGTTCTGTCTCCCTTTCAATAAAAGTATGCTTTTAGGCCGTTAAAAGCGAGAAGGTTTCCTTACAGAGGAGTCAAATCATATCTTTGGACTGTGTTACATGACTTGTTTAGAGAAGAGTTGGGGAAAACAGTGAGGCAGTGTGGTGTGGTAGCGTACGAGCTTTGGAGTTGGGCCATTTGGGGTTCAAATGATGGCTCTGTCACCTGCTAGCTGGGAAACCTCAAATGAGTCACTTGACTGTTCTGAGCCTCAGTTTGGAAAAGGGGGAGAGTAAGGATTAAGCCTTTCAGCTCCCCCCTCCTTTCCCTGAGCAAGCCTGTGCACTGATTTTCCCGACACCCCCTCTCACTTGGGCACTTGCCTCTTCCTTGCTCTCACTCCCTCTTTCCTGACTGAGCGCCCCCCCCCCCCCCGGGCACCCCATAGTTCTCATCTTCTGCTCTCACGATCCCACTTTGCCCTCACAGCTTCCCTGTCTCATGACCCATCAACTCACAATCTCTCTTTTATTTCTCTTAATTTTTCTCCATCTCTCCTGTCCTCTTTCAAATCTGCCTGCGCTGAAAGCCCCTCACACAAAGCATCACCTTCTCTTACCTTCTTCACTCCTCATTGTCCTCCTTGGCACGCTCCTCTCACACTGTTTCTCTGCCTCTCTTCCTCCCTGTCTCCTCTCTCCCTTTGCTGGCCCTCTGTCCTCAGCTCTCTGCCCCTCCTGCCTAAGAGATGAAAGAAAACTTTGAAACTTGCTCTCACACACTCTCTGCGCACACGTTTCCTCTTTCACACACCATCTTCTGCCATACACAGTGACTCTGTCTCACACTCTCAGTGTCATGCTCTCCCTTAGAGATGCCCACCTGCCACCTCCTGTCTTGCCTTCCGGCCCCTCTCCCCACTTCGGTCCTGTCTCTTCCTGTAACCCATTACCTCTCCCTCCGTGTCACCCACCTTTGTCACTTGCTGTCCCTCTCTGACACTCATATTCTCTCTTTTTAAAAATTTTTATTGTTATGTTAATCACCATGCATTACATCATTTCTTTTTGATGTGGTGATCCACGATCCATTGTTTGCGCATAACACCCAGTGCTCCATGCAGTACATGCCCTCCTTAATACCCATCACCGGGCTAACCCATCCCCCCACCACCCTCCCCTCTAGAACCCTCAGTTTGTTTCTCAGAGTCCATCGTCTCTCATGGTTCGTCTCCCCCTCCGATTCCCCCCCCTTCATTCTTCCCCTCCTGCTGTCTTCTTCTTTTTTTTTTTTTCTTAACATATATTGCATTATTTGTTTCAGGGGTACAGGTCTGTGATTCAACAGTTTTGCACACTTCACAGCGCTCACCATAGCACATACCCTCCCCAATGTCTATCACCCAGCCACCCCATCCCTCCCACCCCACCCCCCACTCCAGCAACCCTCAGTTTGTTTCCTGCAATTAAGAATTCCTCATATCAGTGAGGTGACACTCATATTTTCTTGCTCCCTCTCTCCCATTGTCTCTCTGTCACCCACCACATCTGTCTCTCCGTTGCCCCCTTCTCTCTCCTGTCACCCGTCTGTTGACACTGCCATCTACCTGCCCACATTCTTGTCCATTTTGTCTCATTCACTTACTCTTTCTGCATCCTCCCCACTGTTGCCCCTTCTCCCTTTCTCTGTCACCATGATCTCTATCACCCGCTCTCTATCTCTAATACCCATTCTGTTACCCTCTTCATCCCTGTCACCTACTTTCTGTCTCCCACTCTTTCATTCTCTCACCTACCCTCTTTTGCTGTCACTGTATCACTGTGGGTCCAGTCAGAAGGTAGAAACCATACAGCATATGAAAACAGAAATTGCAGTATAAAGAATTATTAAACCGATATAAATGAGTGACTAGAAGAAATAAGGAAACTCCCCACGGTGTCCTTGGGCTAAGGGAGAGTGCCCAAGCTAGGACAGACGGGGAAGGGGACCCCCTCGCCAAGGCTGAGGTGCAGACCTCACGGGAGAGGTACAGTACAGCACAGCCCCGCAGAGCTGCGTCCCCCGGGCCGGCGGGGAGTGAGCTTCTGGAGGGCAGGTGGCCCGCGGGTGTGAACGGGCAGCAGAGGCGGGCGCCCAGGGCGCAGGCAAGCTGCTGGGGTGCTGGTGTCCGTGTGAGAGGGCTGCAAGCGGGATCTCACCAGGCCGGGTGGAGGCGTCAAGGTCGTCGAGGGCCTGCGTGTGCTGGGCGTGCGGCGGTCCTGGGCTACTGTGCTGTCCCCTGTCCGGCCGCAGCAGCCGCTGTAGGAGAGCCCCTTGCTCCTGCAGTGTCCCTCAGGCGCCCTCTACTGCGAGCGAGGAACGTCGTGGTCACTATACGGGAGCAATGCCTCCGGGAATTCTGGCCGTTATCACCGAACAGGTACTGAGGGGTGAATTTGGAACTGAGAGGCAATAAATGGTGACGGGTAGAGTCATGCGCCTTCTGTTTATCCCTGTCCCCCGCCCTCTGTCTTATGTTGCCCACCTTTTGTCTCTTGCTCGCTGTCTGTGTCACTCTCTCTCTCTCACCCATTTGTACTCTGTGTGGTCCACACTCTCTTGCTGTCACCCGTCTGCTGCTCTCTTTCTCAATTCTCTGTCACCCGCTTTCTTCTATCACTCTACTCAAACTGCTTTTGTCAAGGTCACTAATGATTTCATAAATCTAATGGTCACCTTGTAATCCTCATCTTCCTTGACTTACTAGCAGCATTTGATGGTGTTGATCACTTCTCCTTGAAAGGCTTGATTCATTTGGCTTCCAGATGAAGCTTGATTCTTGCTGCTTCTCAGATTCTGCTGATCCTCCTCATAGCCTCACTTTTTTTTGTCTAACGTACTTTAAATTCTTGGGGCGCCTGGGTGGCTCAGTCAGTTAAGCGTCTGCCTTTAGCTCAGGTCAGGATCCTGGGGTCCTGGGATGGAGCCCCACATCGGGCTCCCGGCTCAGGGGGAGCCTGCTTCTCCCTCTGCCCCTCCCCCTGCTTGTGTTCTCTCACTCTCTGTCAAATAAATAAATAAGATCTTTAAAAAAGATACATTCTCAGACATCATGGCATGCCTTCCTTAAAATCCTGCAGTGCATCTCTAAAAAAGAACACATTTTTATGAAACCATTATAATGTATTGCCTAATAAAACAAGCTAATTCCTTGATAATAGCTAACACACAGACCATATTCACATTTTTCAGGTGGTCTTAAATCTTTTTATAATTGGTTTGTTTGAATTAGGATCCAAAGAAGGTCCACACACTGTGTTTAGTTATATTTCTTAAGTCTCTTAATCTAGAACAATCCCTCCCCACCCCCAACTTTTTTTCCTTTTTTTTCAATTCTTTTTTTTTAAAGATTTTATTTATTTGCGAGAGAGAGAGTGAGCGAGCATGTGAGCGTGAGCACAAGCAGGGTTTGTGGCAGG